CTCTTCCAGAGGTACATCTGGCTTTCCCACTCCGCCAGGCTGTTCAGGCCAGCTTTGCATCACACCAAAAGTACTGAATGCAGTTTTAGACTTGAAAATACCATGAGAAAGTCTCTGGAGGGTAACAAGGGAAAGCTACAGAATGGCAAGGGTGATAAACTCAATGGAGCACTGAAGTGGGCATGACAATCAGCCTAAGAAAAAAAAATAAATTTGGTTTAATTAATCACAAGCAGATTATCATTTGGGAAAATAATACCCATAAAACTAGTTACTGTTTAACAGCCCTATTCTAATTACAAAGTAGACTCTCACATATGATTTGCTTGTTACTAAATTTGCCTCATAAGATTCTAGTGATATCCTAACAAATTATATCATGGGAGATGCCTCAATATGATTGAAGTCAAGGGCAAAAATACTGATTTAGTAGAGGATGTATTTGGCCTTATAAAGCAGGGAGCAGAGCAGAACAGATCCCCACTCTGTTTTACACTTCATGTGGGAACCTCTAGGATGTAGCTGTGACTTCACTGTCCTTTGTCTTGTCACTATTTATCTGCTGACATTTCAACATAGATTTTGCTCTTTTGGGTGGATCCTAGATCAGACTCCTCCACGGAGCACAGCTGAATCCTTCTTCCTCACTAGAGGCTGAACTTCACAAACATCTGAGCTTGGTGCTAATATCCTCAACATTGAGGATGGAGCTCCGAATCCAAGCAGAAGTTAGATTATGTATAATATAGTACTTTATATACTTTACAATGAAATTATTATTCCTGTATTTCACTAGAAAGGGCAAGTGAAGGTTGATGTTATCCCTATGTTCATTTCGACTTCCATTCACTAGATCACGTTTGCCAAGAAATATTGAGGATGTAAAAATGCAGACTTGCAATATGCCCATCAATAAAGGTGAAACACTTCACCCCTGTAGCTGTTGTCGCCATAGTGCTGGCTGCTGGCAGTGCTTGCTACGGTGTGGTATTGCTGGTCCAGGCCCTTAGCAAAGGTAGGTTATGTTTCCTCGAAAGCGCTGACTATGTCAGGGTGAAAACAGATGCAGAATCCTTGCCCACTTGCCAACGTCCTCTGTGGGGCAGCAGAAGAGCAGATTTGTAAGCTGAGCCTATGCCCAGGGTGCCAATGTGGCACAGAGCAGGTGTCAGCTGCAAGCACTGATGATGTCTCAGCCTCTGCACTGCAAGTCTTCAGCCCTGCTCTGCACTCCATTAAAGGATATTTACATAGTGTTTGAATACATGTTTCGATCATTCTCTGTGGTCTCACCACAACTTTGCATTCATCTAAAGACCAATGGTTAGAAGGAGAAGAAGAGCTAACTACCATACATAGAGCTAAACACTGATGCACAAAAAAACCCTCTGTGTCTCTGCTACTCTCTCATCATCACATTCCTGTACCAGGGCTTTCTTCAGCTACAAAAAAAAAAAAAAAAAGAAAACAAAACAGCCCCCCAAAATAACCAACTACTACCTACAGCATAAAAAATCAGCAACACTTTGCTTGAAATAAAGAATAAGGTAAACTGACAATATTGAAGCTATCATCTCTATCTGCTGCATATACCAGGCTCTGCCTCTTTGTGACTTCGGTGTCCATAGCCAGGGTCGCTTTCAAGGCCAGTGAGCACAGGAAGTCCTGAGGAATTTGGAAACATTTCCTTCAAGCCTTCTAAAGAAACAAAAGGATAGTTACATTGAAGTCAGCAATTCAAGACCAACTGCTAAATCTCAGCTCATCTGGCAGCCTCTGAGCAGTCAAATGACTGCCATACCTGAGGCACAGAACTGTGTTCACCTGGTTCTCATGTCCACATGGGGAAACATGTTTTGCTAATGCATTAGCCTGCTTCTCTTCCAACAGACATAGAGGACAGGAGCTGCTGGCTCTGTCCCTGCAGGCTGTGGATATGTATCTCAGAGGAGGTCCCCGGCTTTCTCACAGCCGAAGGCAAGCTGAGCCCCTGGTAGATGTACACAGTACCATAGGGAATATTGTGGCCTACATGGGACCCAAAAGGAATCATCTGGCAGGTGTTTCTCCTCCAAATTCCCTGGCTAATGTACTGCAGGAGTGAGATTGGACCCGTAATCTCCGAAGCCCATTGCCTCCAATGGAAGGACAAAGACCCACTAATGATAAATGGGCAGATAAAGCTGTGAGTATTTAATTGATTGGACTAGGTAGAGGATGGTGGACTGGTCAGCTAATTGCATAATCTGCACTGTAGCAGTGCCCAGAGTCAGAAATCCTATGTACACAGAGGACAAAGGGCCTCTTGCCACATTCAGGGAGGAAAGGCCACTTTTGGCTATTTTTGAAGACCACCAGGGGTGATAATTCACAGTTCAAAACACGTGACCACAGACACATCTCCAGCTCCAGAGACTCCTCTATGAAGTCAGCAGCCATGGCATCTCTTTGAGCAGAGCCAGTGTGTGAGACTGGACAGACTGGGCTGTCACCTACCAATGTCATCCCCTGAGCCACCCTCCTGGCAAGATGTCAAGGGTTATGGCTGGGGGAGGCCCCCAAAGGGCCGCACCCAGCCACTAAACGAATGACAGATGCTCTCCAATAACATCTCTGCCTCCCAAAGGAGAAGAGAAAAGAGAATAAGACAGATTTACAGACTGGAAAGAAAACCAATCAATCAACCAGCAAGCAAAACACCAAGCAGCTTTGATGAAATAATAACAGTACTACTAAGAAAAAAATGGAGATAATGAAATATATACAACCATATACAAAACCAGTATTAAAACCAACTCCCCCTGTCACCTCCAACGGCAATCACCACTGACGCTGCAGAGCGGGCAGGCACCAGGGAAGTCCCAGACTCAGTAGCAGATGGGAAGGCATACAGGTACTGGATTTAGGAAGTCATGGATTGGGATTGAGGGCAGAAGAACAGACAGAGTCCTACTTGGATACAGGCCATTGAAAAGGAGGGCTCGATTCTTGTGAACCCTCAGCTTTACACAGAATATGATTTATATTGAGTGGAATATCTCGCTGATCAGGTTTGGGTTACCTGTCAAGTCCATTCCTCCCTGGATGTGCAATATTTTTACTTCTTTGCAACCCTTTTTACTTCTCAGCACCAGCAAGGTGGGACAGAAGACTTAGCAGCGACCTTGATTACTGTAGGGACAAGTATAAGCAAGAGCCTTTCTGCATCCCAATCCTTGGTAGTAACTGTAACATCTATAGAAGTAACTATAAAAACTAAAAACATTTATAGAAATTAAAACATAAAATCTAAAAACATCACTTCTAGCAGCAGACACTGCGTGCAACAATATGCTGTTAAGTTTAGAAAGTGCAGTCTCTTAGAAGAGACTGCGCTGAAAAGTAAAATCACTAAACAGAGTTGGTTTTTGTTTTAGATCAAACCAGATGTCAGTTATGAGCTATGTCCATAACTGACACCCTGCTCCCAGATTGCATAGGCTGCACTTGCCACACGGTGGATCTCTCCTCAATATAAAAAAGGCCTGAGATGAGCCAAAATACAAATCTATCAGTAGTAAAGAAATAGAGCCATCTCCAGCTCTACAGTCTCACCCATACCTCTTCAGAGTTAAGGACCCTTAAGCAGATCACACTGCCACATTTTGGAGAGTTTCAGCCCTAGTCTTCTGTTTCAAGCTGTTGAGTCTGTATTGCTTCCTGGACCATACTATCTTTTTCCAAACTTATAGTTTGTATTTAGCCTCAGAACCAGATGCCTGAGATGTGAATCAGCTCCCACAGTGTCCACATGCATGTTACGTCTCTAGCATCCACTGTAGTCAAGGGAATTGGTCAAAACATGAGAACAGAATAAATATAGGGTGATGAAACAGACATATCTTTACTGTAGGTCATGTATGCACTTTTGAGCCATATGTGTTTTGCTTTTCCTAATTTTCATGTATTAATTTGCCTCACTCAGCGGTAGTTATGTGTCTTTTGCAGTGCATTAATGGTAAGTACGCTCATTATAACCCTCCCATCCACCAGCCTCTAGGCAATGCTGGTGATCTGTTCTCAAGGTAAATTCCATGTCAGCCCATTTACTGTTATTTCTTCCACAGAACAAGCCCAGCAAAAAGCAAAACTCACCAGACCCCCTTCCCCTTTACTGTACAGAGTCTGAGTTCCCACCTTAGGGAGGTAGAGGCCCAGTCAAAAATAGTGTGAAGACGTGGGTCTACTGTTGGTGTAGCAGACACCAGATTTGGAGCATCCACTGTGAAATATTAACCTGTTGCAGTATGCTCTCAGAGGTATCACTATTCACTTCAGCCCTGGTAATGCGCTCTCGGTTAGCCTGCCTTCATTAAACATTGTTCTTTAACTAGTTGTAATGAGGTAGTACCAAACTAAGACAGAAAGGGCTTGCTAACTGGTATTCTCCACGCAGGAGTTAAATCAGGTAATCTCTGCAGAAACCGCCTCACAAATCACCCTCAGATAGATGCTGGCATCACTGTGGTACAGGCAGCCTTCCCGCAGGGCTGTCCGTGAGCTCAGCACATGCCACTGACTCGGCCGGCACAACACAGCGACGATGTCTGCACCGACCTGCGCTGGCAGCCCTGCACATGCTCCGTCTGCCAGACAAGTCCCACTCACCCTCCAAGCCTTGTTTGTCTACGGGAGGCGCTTGGCGGCTGAGGCTGGGTGAGCTGCAGCATCTCTCAGAGCTGCTCGCAGGCAGTTTCACTTGCTGAAGCGAAGAGCGTTTTCAGCAGCTCAGCTAAGCTTCCAGAGTTGTCATTTTCAGAGGTTCCGTAACAAACAGAATATACTGGCTACTGTTCATGTCCTTGTTGTGACAACAACCTGCAGCTGTAAAGCGAATTCTCTGGCAACAAGACTGGTGACAGCTATCACTGCATTGTTTACTGTAATAGACAGGATTCTTCCCTGAAAACCTTGGAGATGGCATTTGTCTCGTCGGGCTGCAAATAACAAGACAGACCACAATGGATTTCAGTTCCTCGTCAGTATTTGATCAGCACAAAGGTAAGTCACCTGCTACTAATTTCAAAATCCTCTGGTCTTCCCATGCCTCCCATGCAAATGTGCTAAGATTACTTGACAGAATGAGTAACAGGAATTTTCTTAAAAGATCAGATCTCTTAGAGATTTATTTTGGTTACACATGAAAGATTTTCTTCCGTCCATTTCAGACATGTATATTTCAGCCTCTTGCTACAGTGATTTTTAAAAATACTTTTTTAGCAGAATAGCAACACCATTTGATTGCTTTTATGCGTAGCATTTTGAGATGTGCATACATATTGATTGTTTCTATTATATGTTGATTCTCTTATGGACAGACGTACACAAACAATTTCAATATTAGCAAACACAGAAGCTTAAAATGGAGTAAAAATTAAAGAAAATGCAATTTTCATAAGTCTGCTAGTTTGCACACATTAAAAGGACTAGAGGCTGACAAGTGATCAAATTATCTTCAGCAATTCCTAGTTGTATAGGTGAGTATTACCATAATTGTGAGTTTAAGATATCTTTAAGAGCCCAATGTAGGATTTCCTACATGGTAAGGTTACTATGGAAATAGAAATGTCTCTTTGTTGCCTTTTTTTTTTAATTGAAATGGCTGAATTTCATGTCTTTATTTGCCAGTACAGGCTTTCGGTCCTATGGCTAAATGCACTTTATGGGATGTAGTGGCATTCTTTTTATGTTCCCAAAGCAGGAAGCTGTCATTGTTGGATTATCCTTGTTGCAAAAAATTCTGTTTAAGTAGGCTTGTCATATAATCTGTGTGCTGTGGCCACAGCTTTCAATGCACACCTGCAAACTGTCCAAGCTAAGATGGCCATGCTGGTCCCACAGTGAAGATGCTGACTGTAGAAAAAGGCAAAAGGCAGTAGGAAAACACACACCGTGGTGCCTTTTAGGCAGCCAGGTCCCACAGGTTGTACTTTTGTGCTTGCCCACATTTCTTTAGTGAACTCAAAGTAAATACATTCCATGTAAAGCAGTGGACTTAGAGCTACCTTTCAGACACAATATTGCTGAAAACCTGAAGCAAGTCTTGAGAGTACTACAGGTCTACGTCAGCTCAGCCAGGACCCCGCCCTGAGTAGATGGGGAAGAGTGGGAAGCCATCAAGCAAAACTGAGTGTCCAGAGACAAAAGACACCACCTGCAAATGAAAAAACAATAGAAGGGAAGTGCAATGGGAGAAGGGGGATCTGTACGG